CTCTGATGCTTTGCTCCAAGTGAGCTGACAGTCACTATTCAGACAAGTTTATTCTTCTCATTTCCCCTCAGAACAGTGCAGTGTCCATCCCTGGTGCTCACTAAATGACGCTCGCTGGGTTAGATTTGAAAAACACTGAGATCTTCCAGTACGACGGGAAACTGTCCCAAGAGAAAGCCGTGCAGCTGAGAAACAGAGCTGCAATTTTTCCAAGTCCATAGCTTCCAGGCTTTCAGGATTTGATGTAAATAGTGGAAACTACACGGAGGTGATATTGGGTGGGGTTTTTGTCTGTTCTGTTTTTGTTTTGAGCAAAATGGGTCTGTGACAGAGGCCTTTCAGATGGCTTGCTCTTTGGGGACTGTGGATCCTTGGGGACCTTCGATGACTAGCTCAGCCTAACAAGGCACAGGTTGTGTGTTACCTTATGTCACACCAGGTTTCATTTAGCTGGTTGAAGCACTGAAGTGCAGAAAGGTGCTCTCTCCTGCCTGCATCCCTAAGGAAGCCGGGAAGCCTCAGCTGCTGAGCAGAGAGACCTGACGTTGGCAGAGGGAGTGTGGAGCATAGTCATTCCTTCTGGGCTGAGGCTGTTGACTCTGCCACCCCCGTGGCCCCTGGACACTGGGCGTGGTGGGTATGCTGGCCTAAGTACCTGTTTGCAGAACACAGCCAGGGCAAAGCTAAAACGGCAGTAACCTGAAACCAGTCGTGTTAGTTTTCCTCCACTGGCTCCCAAGCTAAAATCTGCATTCCAGATGAAACCTGCAGGGAAGCGGAGGAAAGCACTTAAAATTTTTTTAAAAAGGAGGGAAGGGGGGAAGGGTTGAAGGAGGACAGCAATAAATTAGCTGCTTTGAGCACTTTGGGCATTTTGAGATTATCTGTTTCTCTTTGCCTCTTCTGTTTCTTTGTACTTTGTTAAGTGGTTGTCCTATCTATGCTCATGGCTTTTTTCTTTTCTTACTTTCTTTTCTTTTTTTTTTTTGCCTAGAATACCAAAACATAATGACAGTAAGATGTATTTCAGTAGTTTTCTGCTGAATCACCTTTGAGTGTCTAGGGTTGCAGGCGGAGGGCGGCGGGGGTCCGGACTGGCAGGATCAGCTTGCCCGCTCAGCACTTTCTGGAGCCTCAACTTGCTCGCCAATGAGGAAGTTGAAATCGACCAGGAGAAAGGCAGGCAGGCACTGGGGCGGAGCTCTTGGTGAAGTGGCTGGGATTACCAGGGGCAGGCTGACTTTCCAGATGACAAAAAGCCTTTTGTCCACGGGGATAAATACGGAAGTCCCCGCGGAGCGCGTCCCGGGCGCGCGTGTAGTAAGGTGCGCAGCCGCGGCCGTTGCTGCTGGCCCTGGAGCCCCGCAGACTTGGTGCAGTTAGTTGTCCAGCGTGTCCCATCATCTCACACCGGAAGGCGAGCACAGTGACCTCAAAGCGACGGGCTGGGAGGCTGAGCAGCCTGGCTCCCGGGTCCTGTTGCTCCCTGTCCTCAAAGTTAAGAGCAGATGGAGAGTGGATAAACTTGAGTGAGCAGGGCGAGGTAACTGAAGCCTGACCTTCCCTCCGAGGGCATTGCCGAGACATGGACGACGTGGGTAACCATGGGAATGGCAGTGATGTCTCTGAACCCGAAAAACCCGAAGCTGGATTTGAAATGGCACAGTCAATCCTGAGTAAATTCTCAATGAAGTCCCTGTTTGGATTTACAAGTAAACTGGAACCCATGAAGCCTGAAGATGAAGATGCGGTGTTGAAGGCATTCCGCAGTTTAGATTTGGATGCCACACCTGATGACCCCAGCCACAGCACTGGTCAGCAGGAGGCAGAGGCTCGGATTCCAGCTGACCTCCTAAAGGATGAGAAGACTGGACCAGAGGAGGCTGAGTTAGAGGGAAGTCAGGCGGGAGCACAAGTGGGGGCTCCTCTCTCTGCTGGAGACCTGCCTCTCCCTGCTGTGGCTGTTAACAGAGACCATGTCATTTTGGTTCGTGGGACCCTGGTCCACACCACCAGTGATTCTGACTCTGATGATGATGACCAGCAGTCAGAGAAGGGAACCAGTGCCCAGAGCTCCAACTCCCTCAGTGCTGTTTTATCTGAGCCACCTCAAGAGCCCAAAGAAAGACCAGGAGATTCTAGGGAAAAGATTGCCACTGGGGACCCACACAATGCCAAGCACTGTGCCGAAGGTCCCCAAAGGATTCCACCTGAGCTAAGTGGCCAGTTGGAACCTAGTGATGGTGACCTTCTGACAGAGCACAGCCCCAGCCAGGACCAGGCTGTAGAAGCTCCCCAAGTCCCACCTGCAGACGTGAGCTTTAGTGTGGGAGGCACAGAGAGTGCCTCTTCCAAAAAAGAAGCCTCTGGAGAGAAGACATTCCAGCTCCCAGCTTTCTTCAGTGGGCTTCGTGTGTTGAAGAAAGGGGTTACAGCTGAGGGAGGAGAGACCATCATGGAAATTAAACCAAAGGATGGGGACTTGGCTTTGCTTAAGCTGACCCAGCCTGTTCAGAAATCCCTAGTGCCGGCAAGGCCCCTTACAGGGAAGAATGGGGAGAAAATAACTGATCTGAAGGCCACTCCCACTCTCCTGGAACAGCTTTCCCAACTGCTCAACATTGACATGCCCAAAACAGAGCTGAAGACAGAAGACTCGGAGCCATCAAGGGGAGACGAGATGGGCTGCAGCACTGACCAGGAGGGCCAGAGTGGCCCTGGAGCAGCCCACACTCAGGTTGGAGAAGTCAAGCCAAAGCCACCAGAGACAGCCCTAGAGGCCTTTAAAGCCTTGTTCATCCGACCCCCTAAAAAGGAGACCACCGCTGATACCTCAGAGCTGGAAGCTCTCAAGCGCAAGATGAAACATGAGAAAGAGTCACTAAGAGCTGTGTTTGAAAGGTCCAAGTCAAAGCCAGCGGAAAGTCTCTCTGATTCCAAAAGCGTACGTAAAATTGAGTTTTGTGTTTTGTCATAAAAATGTGATGCCACTGTTTTTCTTCTATGGGTTTCTGTAAAATAAAATCTCAGTTACCTATTGTTAGTGACCCTCTTTGCGGTGAAGGAGGATTATACTAAAATGGAATTAACCTTGCAAGAAGTGTGTAGTTGCACTGAAGTAGTTATCTTTCTTCTGGATCAATATAGGGCTTAAACACAAGGAGGTGCAAGTGCGAGAGGGGAAATGGCAACCTGGGATTAAACATTAACAGTAAGCGTTCTTACAAAAATGAAGTAGCGTGAGGAAGCAATGTACTATGAAGTATAACTCAAGTTACAGGAATTTCCTCACCACTTAATTACACCTCTGTGAAGCTTTATTTTTCCTTTGAAAGACTGCCATTTGGCAAAATACATGTTTATGATGTGATTAAAATGTTACATGATGGTTGAGAGCCATTCTGATTGAGCTCTGGATTTCAAACAGTAAATTGGTTTTAATCCCTATTCTCCCTTTTGCTGGCAGAATGACCTTGACCATCCCTAAATCTCAAAACGTGAAACTTAAGTCTCAAAACTATCAACAAACAACAAATTCTCTTCTACAAAATGAGGGAAGTAGTTCTTTATATGGTGATTGTGACGATTAAATGAAGTCAGCACATTAAAAACTCCAAATAAATTATTGGGAACTCTTGAAAACATTTTTCAAAGAGTACTGTCTAGGTAGTTTACAAAGACTAGCAAACAACTGTCTAGTAGTTAATAAATAGTCACAGCATAATTGCAAGAATTTGTGGCTGCTTATCAGCTTGCTCTAAGATTGTCATTCTCTTTTGATTGTTAAATCAGTGTTGTTGATTGTGCCATCGAGCACGACTCTCAGCGACCTCATGAACCAAAGGCCCTTCCACA